CTTATTCTCCTGATTTTAATGTCGAAATTCGATATTGCTGTGACTAACTCAACTCTGGTTTAGAAATTATATCAATCAGACATCATCTAATGATATAACGAGGAGTCAGTTTGTAAGCAACATCTTAGATCTAATTAATAGACAATAGGCGACAAATCACATGTAATATGTCCACGTACGAACGTATCAATTTGTACCAAGTAATTGGAATCGGCAGTGATTATAATTCACAGACCTAGGCTGCTGTCTTAGTAATAAGGCTTTTGTACCTCCTTATGTACTTCATTGTTGGTCTATAATTGAGTTAGGAGTCTGTAATTAAGATGGACTGCTGTTTAGGTACTAGAGCAATCTACCTAAATACCTAAGTTGGGATTATAATATTACTAGCAACCAGTCCCGACTATGCACAAGAGGATATATATGTAAACTTTTCAATCACTGTACCTATTGAAAAACCGCATTAAAATATTTTGCGAAGTTTTAAAGATCATAGGGACAGAGTTTTATACTATGTAGTGATTATCATTTTTATATGGAACTTTATTTAGCTGCTATGACTGTACAAATGCCAAAAAAGTTGTATAGAAAACGATCGTACTTTTTTGTAATATTAGAAAAAAACAACTATTAGTTAATAATTGAAAGTTGGATAGTTGCAGGCTTATAGCGACGTTCATTTCATTACAGCTACTGATCTTTGGATGGCACTGAAGTTAAGCAACAACTTAAAATGAAACAGGTAATAATATACAGGACCAAAAACATGATCTGTTTTAAAAACAAAGTAAATACGAATAAATAGCACGCTTGTTACAAAAACAGGTCCTGTGCGGGCTCGCGACCATGTGTAATAAAATGTTTTTATCCATGTTAAAACTTCTAGAATGATCCATAAAAAATATTAATACGTAATCGTAAGTAATATTACATTATTGTTCATATTTTTATGACGATTATAATATCATATAATAAAGCTTTCACACCTGTTCTTCTCTGATAGGGTTTGTAGAGTTGTAAAAATAACCGACAGTTTTTTTTCTTCTGTACCTATTACAAGTGTTATCAGAAAATCTAGACCGCTAGCCAAATATTGTTAATTATTTATTATGAGGTCACATTCTCACTTCATCAAACATTTTGTCTTAAACCCTGATCGGTTACTTATAACGAACTAAGCGTAAAGAATACTTCATACAAACACATTTTACAATTTATTAATATACTCAACATTAACTCAAGACGAGGATAGCAACTAAAGGTTGTTGCAGTTCTCCGAGTAAAAATAAACTGGAGACTTAATAAAAATCGATAAACAAAAGTGATATCTACAGCTGGCGACGTTGAATTTCAAGTATGCAAACGGGTACCTTTGCAGTTCCCAGATGCAAACTCATCTGGCACACGAGATGCTATATTCTATCTATAGCCACCTTTTTTATCTACCATACATTTTAAATCCTAATCCCAGTGTATAAGACTTAATTTTATCTGCCTCAAAAGCCGCCGATCAAGAACCACCACTTCTCAGTACTCGCAGGTGCTTCTCATAGATAGAGCTTAATTTACTGCCAATTATACGTAAACAACATATGGTGTACCAATCTCTTACCATTCGTAGACTTACAAAAAAATGTATGAATATATTAACATTAAACTCCCAAATGCTATTATGGCGAGGTGAGACGTGTGTTTTAGAAGTGCTAGCGCGAAAAACGTCCTGTCACGTTAGAAGCCGCCAAAGAAAATAAGATGCATGGCGAGGGCCGCGGTACAAACTGCTTTCGACGTCCGTAATTTGCATTATACAGCAAGATTTATGGAAAATGTGCGAAAATATGCCAAGTCTGCTCTACAAATGCTCTGCATTTCGCGACCTTTTTTTAATCGTCACAAGTTCGCAGTTTGCTTTATGTGCAATATGGGAGCTCTTTTGAAATGTCATCAATCCAGCAATAAATGCCAGATAGAATCACACAGTCACACTAATGACATTAAAAAAAGGTTTTAAATAAAAGACCAGACGCATCCTGCATTTTGTTCGTAATTACTAAGGAACGAGTACCGAACCTGGGGTAAATTAAGACATAGTCGGTAATGTTTAAATCAAATCAGAAAAATATTTTTATGAAATTTATTCAAGCAGAAAAAAGAGAAAAAAATGTTAGTAAGTGCGCATCACATCGAGCGACCCTTGAGCTTTAATTTTTCAGCAACGTATCGAGAGAAAAATAAAAACGACGATGTCTTTTATAAATCCCCGAAGGGAAAGACGAAGAGGAATAATCGTGTCGATCAGATGGCCTGGTTCGCTTCAAGAGGCCCTTGGTTCCCGGCGATGTCGAACCACTCCTGCGTTTACAAGTTTTATATTATGACACGTCTTGCAAGACTTCAAAGCCGCGAGCGTGAGCCATTACAGGTCCTGGGGGCACGTCACGGCCGCAGCCGGCCGGTAGCCGCGGCACCTCCACCGGAGACACGCCCTCCACGCACTTCCTAATGATCCGTTAAAACTTCCGCATTTCGTCGATTTACAACCAAGTACATAGGCAACTAGAAATGTTACAAATTACAATATTTAGTGGGAAATACTTAACAGTCTCCTCATCCATTTATTTTTTTATAGGTAATACTTTAGCAATTCTTCTTTTTAAGTATTTTTTGATGAATTTCCCCCGACGCAATAAATGACTTTTTCTTTTCTCATGGGTCTAATCAACTGGAAAAATCGCTTTTTATTAATATGAAAACCCTGTAACACCTTTTGTAGGGTCATTGTGGCCTCTCCTTGTGCCGTAAAAATTACTCTTGACCCGTTTTCGATTCAAGAGCTTAACAACTTTGAGATTGCTTTGTTGTTTCTGCCAAATACTAACGAACTCCGCTTCAAAATTTTAATCTTGTAAACCTTTTGTTTTGTTTAATAATATTGGAGTATTTGTTTAGAACAGGCAATAAATATCTCGCTAAGTTAGTTTCGAATTTGCTAAGTCAAGTTTTAGGTTTCCGTAAACAGGACACGATTGGTTCATTTAATAATGAAGTGTGTTGAAAGCGTTGTGGGTATAATATAACAGCGCTGCGAGAAACGTATTACTGTACCTACAAGATGACAAGTATAGCCCGCTCCAATTTATATGAACCCTTATCCGAGGCGTTGAGACGAAATCAATTATCTATTTATTACGAGACGGCCGTGGGAGTGGAGAAATTACTGTACATGAGTCGGTTGTGTTATGAATATAGCGACGTCACGTAATGGTAGCGTATCAACCATTTGTGTGGTGTCGGGGGAACACCTGCGCGAGCGCGACCCTACACTCACTCCGCAGCGAGCCGCGAGTCGCAACTATTCGTCAAATCTGCGAATTTATCTGTTGACACCCACGTTGCATTCATATCTTGTATCCAATTTTTTGTAGCTCCTCAGAAGTATTGCACATTGAGAGTCTTTTTTGTAAAAAAAATACGTCCGATTTTAAATTACGGCCTGGTTTATCTTATAAGCCTATATTTAATAGACCATAAGGCTTCTGTTCTAATGGGCAAAGATGGCCACACCAAATTTTGGACAGTTAATGGAATAAGTCCCATCCTATCAAAAGCGAAACTATAATTGCCATTTTTGGCACCATTTTTGGCACCATTTTCAGACACGCAGGAAAATGGACGAAGCGGACCATTTATTCCTTTTATTTATTTAACTTTATACAGGTCATCACTTAATCAGAATGGAATATTTGCCCATTATAATATTCATAATTGAGCTTATATTAAGCTTAAATTCATCAGATCTCCCAATAAATTAGTGCTTTGTTAATAGAATACTATTTTACTAAGGTCTTTACATAAGACAGCCGCAGGCTTCAAGGGAAAACAATACGTCGACTAACTTAGAGAATATAGCTTTAAAGAACTTGCTTCTAATAATTTATGACGATCACAAATTAAAAGAAGTTTTACAATGTTCACTGAAAAAGTCTCGTGAATGTTCGATGTGACGGCGTGTAACTTTGCAATCCCTAACGTACTTCACCGGCTATAAAGTGAGCTCGACTCGTTCAGCTACATTTTTTATTAATCTGCTGTAAAAGGAAGACTTTACTACCTCAAACAATTTCAACATTTATCAATTATTTTATTGAAATCCTGCCAAAACACTTTTCCAAAAGATACCACCACCGCCACCGACCAAAAGGAAATATCATAAGTGCTCATAAATAATGCATAATATATGGAGGACCCAATCATCGGCGATAACCAAAATCGTAAAGACATTGTGGGATGCTTAAATCTATTGCTGAGACCCTTTTGTGTCATACCTAGCGTAGTTATACATATATTTTACATGAAATAATATGTGTATGGAAATGATTTATATAACGGTAGGTAGGTAGGTAAGTATGCAATATTATAATTTGTTTGAAATTTATGCAAATATATTTTTAATTCAAAGCAAATATACGTTTCTTTTTTAATTAATTAAAACGGAAAACATAATATAAATATTATTAGTTTTAAACGAAAAATAAACCTAGGTACAATATAATTTAAGAAAAAAAAAATATTTAAAATTATTAATTACAATTAATTATTAATTACAATTCAATTAAGTTGTTTTTTATGAAATTTATTATATTCAAAAGAAACAATATCAATTTTTAAAATTATTTTGAGGGTTGTAAATTTAAAATACTTAAAATTAAGTTTAAACAATCGTCTTGCGCCACGGCAATAAAATATAAAAAAATCGCAATCGCCAGAAATCACTCGCTCGGCATTGTACAGCTATAAATCGAACTTTTAATTCATGAAGAGTTGTTTAAAGAATGAAGAAAGCGCGCGAAACCAGGCAACGGCCGAAAGACACATTGCTGAAAAATCCCAACTTATTAATGGAATAATATTTGTACCATTAAAAAAAATTGCCCCAATCAAAATTTAAACAAGACATTATCATAATGACTTTAAAAAATAGAAAATTAAATTTAACTTACTTGAGGTCATCAATATCTTTTTTCATATCGGAAACGTCGGTGTTGTGCATCGTTTTCAGGATTGATATCTGCTCAGCAACAGCCTGCAGCTCATCCCGAATTTGTATTTCAGCCCCAAAAACGTTCATGGCAACAGTAAAAGTCAACATTAGGAAAGTGATGCACTTCATTTTTCGCGCACTATACACGAAGTTCGGTGTGCGGATGCTCGCGAATAGACGACTGGCCCGAACCGCGGCCGAGACAAGACTGAGCGCTCCGCTCCTCCGCGCCGCTGTATATACGAGGCTACGAAGAAGCCGCGGACTACGAACACGCAGATGCGTTCAACAGTTGTCCAGACGCCCACAGCTTATGTTGTCAGGCGTTTTTCACATTACTTACTTAATGTGATACATATTTTTTTCGCGCAATCTGTCAATAGACAGTTAGTCTTCACATTGTCGCCTTACCTTTATAGTATCTCAACTACTTTCGCATTGACGTGTTACATATTACGACGAATAAGTTGCACTGTTTAATATTACATGTTAACATTTTCTGAAGACTTTGTAAGAGAAAAACTTTCTAAAGACTAGCAAATTATTGTACAAACAAGACTGTGAGACCGAGATTTTCGTTTTCCACAGTTGTTTGAATGATATTATGTTCAACTGATAGGTTTAAAAAACTGTTATTTCGTGCAAAGGGTTGTGTTTTATGCTAATTAATAGTAACGTATGTTTCAAAAGCCACGGGGCATGCAACCTTGAGAGAAAAACAGATGAAACAGTCCAGTCGTCTTCCATTTTAAGGGCTATCTTATTCATCTTATAATGAGGATCTAGATAAAATTTGACACAGGCATAGGAAACCCAAAGTAATGGAACATAGGCATTTTTATCGACATACCATGCGGGCTAAGCCGCGGGCGGAAGCTAGCAAAATATAGTTTTATCTGGTCAACGTGGTTTAAGCTCCGGCATAATAATAACAAATTTTACCGATCTTGAAAGGATTCAGCTTAGATTTCTTATTTTAGTTTTGCTGTAAACACAAAGAACAGCATTTTTACGCTAATCAAATACGCGAAAATGTTTGATGGATTTGCTATGCGAAAATGGAATAATTGATTCTAGTGAACAAAAAAAAGATACACGTACAAAAGATAAAGATACAAGAGAAGTGTGGGAGAGCCATGCTTCGGCACGAATGGTTCAGCTCGCCCGGAGTGATACCACGGCCTCACAGAAAACCGGCGTGAAACAACCACAGCATTGTGTTTCGCCGTGTGAGTGAGGTTACCGGAGGCCCCATCCTTATGCTCCCTAATCCCTCCTCAATCCCTAAATCTCTAAAGCCCTTCCCTACAAGGTCGGCAACGCACTCGTAACTCCTCCGTTGCGGGTCCATGGGCGACGCTGATTGCTTACCATCAGGTAATCCGTCGGCTCGTTTGCCCATCTGTTACATAAAAAAATGACTCCTTTTATATGGAGGAAAAACAAATACATACATATGTACATCAATGGACGTATTAATATAACATTTTTACTCTAAACAATTATTACATGTGAACTACGTGTATACTTTTATTACTTTGTTGGACGTTTGCCTCAGGCGCTACTGGCAAATACAGGCTTTATATTTTATGTTCAGGTTAATACGATTTGGTTGTTAAGGAAGGAACCATTATTAATTGATTGACTTCATGAAAACTCCTGGGGCGTATCGACAAGGACGAATTCAGAGAAACAGCTATGTTTCGATCTAAGCATTAAGCCAGATGGCTGCTTCAGCATAAATGGGTCGGCTCGACCGGAGTTATACCAGGGCCTCACTAAAAACCGGCGTGAACCAACCACAGCGTTGTGATTTAGCGTGTAAATGAAATTACAGGTGGTCCAATCCTTCTTTCCCTCCTCCAATCCCTAAATCGTGCAAATACGATTTCGGAGATTTACGGATTGGAGCCCCAAAAGGCTAGCAACGTACTCGTAATTCCTTTGGTATTGTGGGTGTCGATGGCGGCATCATATTGGCCGTAACATAAAAAATAAGCCCTGTGGTATGTTCACGCCCATAAGGAATATACAGTTTTGTTTTTGATCTTTTGGAAAGATGTAGAATACAACTGTGCAACTTGACGCAAGCAGGTACTAATGAAGAAATGATCGTTTTTTTATTATATTGATTTTAATGGCTTTCAGTAGGCATAAAGACATGATAGATTTTGAACACCATCCAAAATAAAGCGTAAACTACGTCTAATACGAACAAAAAAAAAAACGAAAAAGACTGTAACATTTCTGGCTCAGCTGAGAACTAAGTTTTCCATAAAAGTTTAAAACTGATTACGAAACGTGTTAGCTCAGAGAACAGGATACAGAAGAAGAAGCGTTAGACCTATTTGCGCTGGAGTAATTCCCGGCACATGCATACGTACCCATTGTTAGTTGAAAAAGATAGCTTTTTTTGCTCACTCCTACAAGGCTCTAACTCATAACGACTTTACAAATTGCATTTTTCATTTCCTTTCCCCAAGTATTTTTCACCAACTAGAATAAGGATTCGTATTTGCTGGCTATTGAGATTCATCTAAAGTTCCCCGAACTAGCTAGCTCTTTACTTCGATAGAAAAAAAGAGAAGCGAAGAATTCGCTCATATAAAAGTGTAAAAATTAATACAACATTGGACACAGCCTTTATGATTTAGCAGTTTTTATACTTCTTTTGGTCTGAAATGTAAATTTTTGGATTCATTCTCTTTTCTAAAATCGATTTCGCTGAAACACAGCGTTAGACGAAAAGCGATTTTGGAGTCGATTGGGATCTCGCAGCTGTATTTTGTACCGGCCGCGCTATTTCGTGAAGCAATTTTTGCAATCAATGTAAAATCAAATCGTCTCTCCGACTCGGGGACCCGCCGTCAGTTCAAAGCAATTTTTGCCCTATGAATTCTGCGAAGCCCGTAGTACTGTGGCATAGTGGTACTGTGTCAAAAGATTTATTTTGTCATATATTGTTACCAAAGGTGCACATTTTATACAGTGCATCGCTTGCAATATTTCAGCATCTTCTCATTCTTCGGATATTTAATTTTAAACAAATCTAATCACTTTTTTCTACTAAGAATACATGATAAATAATTATTATTATACGTATTTAATAAATCGTGATTTGGTTCACTAAAGTCAAATCCAGTAGCATGAATAATAAAATTTTAATTATTATATCCACATATCTAGAGCTATATTAAAATAAGACAAGATTATAAATAAAACATATATGGTGGTCTAGAGTCAACAAATATGAGTTACAAGAGGTATCGGGAGATATGAAAATTTCAAAATCTTCGCCTTCACTTACGAAAGAATTTATTGTAATTCTGTTTTTCTTCTAATAAATAATGTTTTAATTTTACAGAGTAAAATAAAAGAATATACTTTTTAAGTTACAATCAAATGTTTATTTGTGCATTCGCGTACACTTTATATTTTACATTTATTGTATTTATTTTCATTTTTATTATTTTTGTACATAAATATAAGGACTCAATTTGCCTCAATAACATGCCATGATTGGTCCGTTGTTACTGAATGGTCATTCGATATTTGATATGAAGCCAATGAAACTGGCTATTTAACAGTTGGTTTCTCACGACCCTCGACATGTGCGGTTCGACCAATTTTTATGGAATAAATACTCCACGACGGTGTATGGTTACAAATTCCTTGCAAGTGCAACGAAAATTCTTTTATGCAAGATTAACGTGAGAGTGGAATTATTGATGTAGCTAAGAAATTATCAAGGTAATGTGTATTTGTACTTATGTTAACATATTATGACTGCTACTTCCTTTATTATAAAGATGTAATTAGTAATAATTCTCATGACCATTTTGCTGATTTGCATGTGTGTAGGATTGTTCCTTATTTATAGCTGGCGACCGAATACTAGTACAAACTTTAAAAATAAGTTTTATGTAGGTAATAGAGGACTCCCTATCGCTAGGCTATAATTTGGTACTGGACAGCTAAAATTATAATGCATGTTAGCCAATACTATTGGTTGAGCTGATAAATATATATATATACGTATGTAAAATGTTTTATCATTAAATATAATAAGAATGCAAAAATAATATTAACTTTAATTTTATTTCTATTCAAAACCCAGAGTAATAACGTGCCACAACTTTTAAGTAGGTGTGTGCTTTCCAAGTCGGAGTTTCACGCAGTTCCTTATCGCTATAACATTATGTAGGTATGATCATAAAATCTAAAACATGGTTACGAGTAAATTACTGCAACACTGAGTACATTAATTATTGCACAATGTAGCGGCCTGGCTCGACCGGCGTGATGCCACGGCCTTACAGACAACCGGCGTAAACCAATTACAATGTGATGTTTCGCCGTGTGAGTGAGGTTACCGAGGACGTAATCCTTCTCATACCGCTATTCCCTCCTTAATCCCTCCCCAAAAAGCCGGCAACACACTTGACTCCGGTGGTGTTGCGGGTTGACACCGATTGCTGACCATGGGGTAATCCATTGCATCCTTTGCTTCTGAAAACCACCATTTGGGATAGCTCCGACTTGGGAATCGCATTCAAAACCCGACTCAACAATAGCGCTCGAGGTTGTTCGACCCACGAAGCAACGTAGCTTATCTTAGTACCTATATAAACTCATGTGCATAAAGTTGTGAAGATATTTTACACAAAGGGACCTCGATGCCATCGATATTCAAAGGGCTATCTTTGTTTTGGACGGTAAAGGATAATTATTAAAGCAACGTATAGCCATTATTCTCTTCAGTGTACCGTCCACGCGAGTTCGGTCATCAATAAAGCACGAACGTGTTGAACTTTATTGTTACTTTAAGCTGTAAGATACAATTTTTATTCCGATATTCTACAGAATCGAGATGCTGTAAACTTAAATTCAGACCGCAGGGGAATGTAAGTACATAGCTACTCAGTATGTTTGCGTTCTAAGAATCATAATGAACAAATTCCTATACATTCTCAAACCAATACATAAACGTTTACGTTATAACATTGTCTAGAAAGTAAGTATATACATATTTGTGCAATCTCCGCGGTCATTACCTACGGTGTAATAGGACAAGAGCTTTGAGTTATCCGATATTGTTCATGCATTGTTCGTAATTATCACAATAATTTAACATTTGACCGAACAACAGTACAACATCCCACTACAAACTAGATAATGTATCTTTGGATCACCATCC